AAGTGGCAGCTGAGCCCAAGGAAGGGGTGAATCCAGGTATAGTGACAATTCGTGTCGAGTTGATTGGCGAACAAATCCCTTCTCATCAGGAGGAAACTCGTGATGAAGACGATGGAGATGAGAGAGGTATGCGATTTAATACTTGACTTTTGAGTTTGACAATTCTTTTAGCCTTATGTGTCAGCTTATTGAATAAAAGTCGGTTTTTTTCGAGTTCTTTATCTTACCGTTCATTTCTGTTTTTTCTCCAGTTTTTGCTTTTGTCCCTGTTTGAGTCATCTGCCTTTATTGTTTTTTTTTCACAACAACAAAAATTACTGCTCAATTTTTTATGCCCAATATATTTTTTGCATCTACTTTCTTTTGTCCTACACCATCCCCCCGGCAAAGCCATTTCATGTAGGAGTAACTATCTAAACAAGGTAGTATATCGCAGCTTTGATATTGTAGTTTACCGCGTTTTTGAATTGGCTATATTTTTTCTATTTTGATTTTATTGCCTACTATCCCATTTCTTGTTCATAAAGTAATTTTCTATTTTTTTGATGTTTAAGATCCGATAAGCTTTTGGAATCAATTTACCTTAAATGGGAACGCAGGTACTTCTAATAAAGTACCCACTCTTGCTTTTTTTCTTCAAACTTCATTCAAAAGTTTGTGAATTTTTTTAGGGGGCAGAATCGTTTTTGCTAGAATATAATGTTCTTGTGAATTCGCAGTTTATTGTACTGTCTTAGTTTCTTTTTCATTTGTAAACTTAGTGTTGAAAGATTTTAAACTTTTGCTTTTGGACCACTCATATCCTCTTTTAATCCCTCATTATACTAATTTCCGTCGCTGCGAGAGACCGTACATTCACTCCCATGTTATTAATCTCACCCTGTTACTTTTCTCACTTTTTTTGCGTTATATCTGCAATGGGATATTTCCTTTTTTATCCCGCAACGGACTATGCTATACCTGTACTTGAGCTGCACTTCCCAAGAAAAACTAGGTCGCACTTAGGGTATCGGTTTTCACCAGGTTATTTATGGCCTGGGAAATCCTGTTATGCTCGTCTTCTTGCTGAGTCGCTTTTCCCTACCGTTTGTTGCTTTATTCGGTCAGCTATCGATTGAACAATTTTTTTTTCATGGAATTAGCTTCACAAGTTTACATCTTGCTTTTTATTTGTATAAAAGATAAACATTGCCGTATTTTGCGCCCACATGTGTTCGAATTTTTAGGTGTTGGTCGTATATCGGTCAACAATCTATGGTAAATTCATTCTCTTTTCTTAAGTACACTATAGCTGATATAATTTTGTGTTAATGATGCAATTGCACATTTTACGCTAAATATATTGAAAAGGCGTCGACTTGTCTGTCGAATGCCATGTGGCATCAACATGCTCTATTGATGCTTCAACACAGTTTTTGTGTGTCTTGTACAGTTACACATCTGCACTGAACTTGTTTATTTTTTCTTATTTGTTTTTATTCGTTCGCTTGCTATTTATTGCTTGTCAAACCAGATTTATAACGACAATAGTACTTCAAATGT